ATGTTTATTTAATTTGAGACAGAGTCTTGCTAACTTTCCCAGGCTGACTCCTAGCTTGGGATCCTCCTGTTTCAGCCTTCTAAGTCACTATATCTGGCAGGGGTATACTTTTTTTACATTTAAATATTTATTTCATTTGAAAATTTTCTTGGTGCAAGCTATGAGATATGGTACTGGCTTATTTCTTCCCATATCTGGAAATAATCCACCCCTTCCCCCACTGCATTGTCTATTGTGTTGTTATAGGTTTTTAAAATCATCATTGACTTTCCTTTTGCTCTGTACCTAACATAGCACTAAGCACCTTGTGACATCTGTAAGTATGGATTATTACCACCATTTTATATATGAGGAAATCAAGCCCACAGAGGTATATTGACTTGCCTGAGGCCCTATAGCTGGTAACTGATGGCAGAGCTAAGATTCCAAGTGAAGCTCTTAAGGATCACATGCCAGCCTAATTTTCCTCTTGAAGGGCTCTACTACTTCAGATTTTGAAACAAGGCAGAAGAGACTAGATACACTAGGCTGCATACCTGTTGGGCTTTGCCTGGTCTTTTGGTCTCACCTCATGCAGGCACATGGTAAACCAGCCCCAATCCCTACACTGGAGCAGTCTGACTGCTAGCCGTGAGGCCTCTCCAAGACTAGTGGAGGCTGAGTGGCCTTAGCACTACATTTAGCATTTCTCTGCCCAGAATATTCTCCTCTGGGATAAGTCAACAGCTCACTCCTTCATCCTCTCACACAGAGTCAGGTACTGCTCCCTGGTAGATGTACTTCCACTGGACCACAAGTTGGTGAGCTGAATTAAACTTTTGTGTCCCTTAGAAAAGGGCATCACTTCCTCCAGGCAGACATAACCCCTTGTTAGGGGCAAGAGTTGGCCTGCAGAGAGTGGGCAGATTTTCACACCCATTTACCCTCTCAGCTGGGTACCTATGTGCAAAAGCTATACATAGTGGCCCTGTTCAAATGTTAAAGATGCAAACTACCCTTTCCCATGCATACACACCCTGTCCCTGCTTCTCCACTTACCCACTCCTTAGCACTTACTCCTATCTGACATATTAAATATTTTACTTATTTACTGTTTACCCACTTCTAAGATGTGAATTTCCATGACTACAGCATTTCCTGTGTTTAACATATAGCAGCTATTCAAAAGGTATTTGTTGAATGAATGAAAAGGGTGATATTTTGGAGATCCCATCTCTGCCCATCCCTTGGAGTTTTCCAAGCAGTCAAGGAAAGAAAGCAAGATGAGGAGGGAGGAGTTTGGCAACTCCTATTAGGGGCCAGAAGTTAAGCCACTTGGCTGAGAGGAAGAAGAAAAAGGAGTCACATTTCACCGTTCTTTCTTTCTCATCTGTTTTGGGTTGTTTCCACATAATTTCTTCCCACTCCGTCTTCTTGCCCTGTTACCTGGCCAAGGGGGAGGCAGGATAGTAAACCACATGTTTGTTCTCTCCCCTCCAAGATGGGTTGGCAGGTAGCTGTTGGCTGACTCTCCTCTGCTGATGGTTGCTCTTTAGGCTTGGAGCTGGCTCACTGCCCAGGCCTCTGGGGCTCCCCGCACTGGACCCCTAGCGAGGACCTTCCGGATACTGAGAGACATCAAAAGAGGGTTCGAACTATGTTTAACTTGGAGCAGCTGGAAGAGTTGGAGAAAGTGTTTGCAAAACAGCACAATCTGGTGGGGAAGAAGAGAGCCCAGCTGGCAGCCCGACTCCACCTTACGGAGAATCAGGTGGGAGCAGGGAGTCCTATGGGGCCTGGGTTGCATCTGGGATCAGATACCAACTCTGGAAGGCCCTAAGTTGGGAGTGGGAGGAAGACATGGACCATCTTTGGGCCAGGCTGTTGGGAGACAGGCCCTAGTTTTTTACACACTCCCTATGTAATGAGAAAAATAGTTGTGGGAATAACATACAAAGTTAATCTAAAACTTTGATAAAGTATTCTATGCTAAAGTGCTATCAGAAAAAATTAAGTAGGCATTTTCTTTTTTTAATATTTATTTTTTAGCTTTAGGTGGATACAATATCTTTATTTTTATTTTTATGTGGTGCTGAGGATCGAACCCAGTGCCTCACGCATGCCAGGCGAGCGTGCTACTACTTGAGCCATAGCCCCAGCCCCTAGTAGGCATTTTCAAGAGACTAAATATTAAAAAAAATAATAAAAAAGATTACCTTGACTCCCATATTTCCCTCCAGCTATTGTGCCATTTCTCTGATCCTTTCACAAGCAAACTTCTCATAAACTTTCTACATTCACTGTCTCCATGTCCTCACTTCCCATTTGCTCTGACTCATTCCAGTATGAATACTTTCCTTCCCATTCCATTAAAACTTCTCAGCAAGTTCTCAATGACCTTCATGTTGCCAAAGCCAACTGATGCTTTGCTTCCTCAACTTACTCCACCACTCAGCAGCTCTCAGTACAGTGGCCACTCCTTCCTTTACTGAAACACATTCATATTTTCTCTCTCTCACACCAGGGTTTGAATTCAGGGTTGCTTAACCACTGAGCCACATCCCCAGCCCTATTTTATATTTAGAGACAGGGTCTCACTGACTTGTTTAGGGCCTCACTAAGTTGCTGAGGCTGGCTTTGAATTCTCAATCCTCCTGCCTCAGCCTCCTGAGCTACTGGGATTATAGGCATGCATCATGGCATCCAGCTAACACATTCTTCTCTTAACTTTCAGACACCACACACTTGATTCTCCTTCCTGCTCGCTGGCCATTTCTGTGTTCTTTTCAGGCTGCTCCTCCCTTTGGGACCTCAAAAATCTCTCTCAGCTGTGGGGAAGAAGAGAGCCCAGCTGGTAGCTGGGCTCTATTCTCATCTATTCCCATAGGGTTTTTGTTGTTGTTGTTGTTGTTTTTGTTTGTGTATCAGGGATTGAACTCAGGGCCACCCAACCGCTGAGCCACATCCCCAGCCCTATTTTGTATTTTCTTTCGAGACAGTGCCTTGCTGAGTTGCTTAGCACCTTACTTTTTGCTGAGGCTAGCCTTGTACTTGCAATCTTCCTGTCTTGGCCTCCTCAGCTGCTGGTATTATAGGTGATAATATAATAATTGCCATGCCCGGCAATTATTCCCAGTTTTAAATACTATTTCTAAGCAAATGACTCTCAAAATTTCTATCCTCTGCCAGTCTTCTCTACTGACTAGTATTGCTACCTTGTTAACATTCCCACTTAGGTGTTTTTTTTTTAAATTGCTTTTATTTTTTAGATACACGACAGCGGAATGCATCACAATTCTTATTACACATATAGAACACAATTTTTCATATCTCTGTTTGTATATAAAGTATGTTCACACCAATTCATGTCTTCATACATGTACTTGGATAATGATGTCCATCACATTCCACTATCATTGCTAACCTCCTGCCCAGTCCCTTTCCCTCCAACCCCTCCACTTAGGTGTTTTAAGGGTAGGCAATTCAAACTTCACAAGACTGAACCTCAATTTCTGATTCCCCCTTCAAATCTATTCCATTTCCCATTCATCCAGGTCTCACCATTCATCCAGTTGCTCAAAACACTAATTCATTCCAGATTCCTCCTTCTCCATTTCCAACCATCAGCAAACCTTGTCACCTCTACCTCCAAAATGCAGATGGAATTGCTTCATTGTCCCTAGTTTATATCCCAGTTCTCATCACATGGAAGCAATAGCTTCCAAACTGTCTCCCTGCTTCTGCCTCCATCTGTTCTTCACACAGCAGCTCAACCATGTGCAATTCACTCAAGACTGTAAACAGAACTATGTTATGTCCCAATTAAAAGCCTCAAAGGTGACACTCCTTCCCCATGGCCCACCTAGGTCCTGGTTTTTATGGCCCCCGCCAACTTCTCCCACTTCCTCTCCCTTTTCTTTCCCCTCTTATTAACAGCCACATTCTCCTTCTTTCTGGTTCTCAAACACTCAAGTTTGGTGCCAACTCAGATTCTTCCTACAGTCTAGCCTATTCCTCTCTATCCCCACCAGGCTGACCTCTCATTCTCCAACCCTTAGTGTTGGGTCCTCAGGAAAACTTCCCCAACCCAAACCCTTGTTTCTACCACCATTTGCATTTATATATTTTGGCTTGTTACATTTATTACTGTGAGCTCCAAAAGGGCAGGGACCATGCCTCTATTGCTCACCACTATATCACCACTACCTAGGATGGTGTCTAGCAAATTATAGGAGCTGGTTAAGGTGGATGAATTTTAAGTGGGATTATAGTAAAGGGCATTTTGGAGGAGATGCTTCCCTTTGCAGGAGGAACAAATTTTGGCCAGACACCAAGGGTTGGGTACTCTGGGACTGGGGGAGGAAAAGGACCTGCTGGTCACATTCTGATGTCAGCTCATTGATCCCAATGATAGGTGAGGATCTGGTTCCAGAACCGCAGGGTCAAGTATCAGAAGCAGCAAAAGCTGAACCTGCCAGCCATGTCTGCTATGGCCACCTCCCTGGACGAGCCCTCCAGCAGTTCTGACAGCAGCATCCAGAGTGAAGATGTGGAGTCAGGAGTGGACAGCTGAGGACAGACACCCTACCTGTGCTGTTTGGTTTAGTTCTAGGGGAAATCAATGGACCTTCCTGCCCACATCTCAATGAAGAGCATCCTCAGGGCCAGGGAGCAACAGAGGAATTTGAACTGTCATGCAGGAGTCCCCTTTTCTATATCAACCCCTGAGAGCCATAATAATGTAGTGGTCAGAGGCACACACTTTGGCCATAAGCTATAAACTTGGCCAATTACTAAACTCCTGAGCCTTTATTCTTGATCTGTATAAGTGATTATAAAGGGGCGAAGTGATGTCTATAAAGCACTTACAATGTGCCAGGACCAGTGGAAATAATGTGTGGTAATTGTTAAGGCTTATAAGCTCCCCCAGTGGGGGTAGGGAGTAGAGTGGCAGGGGAGTGGGAGAGTGATATCTGCAGCAGCCCAGGCTGCCCAGGGATTAATCAGTTTTTTTCTGGCCTGACTTTAGAAAGGGGACCTCACTTAATCAGTTCTGGATTTCTCCACCAGAGATGGTAGAATTAAGAGCAAGGAGGATCAAAAGGTAGACTACTTGGCTTATTTCTCAGTTTCCCAAAGTTTTCCTGTTTTGTCTGAACTATTACCATCTCTCAGCTGCCTCTCTTGGAGCAACATGCTACCCTCACTGCCAGCTCCCTGCTTCATCCATCCCCCCCACCATCTTTATGTAGAATACAGAAATTTGACTCCACTTTGTCATAAACTTGCCTGTTTTCAGGATAGTTAATGTGTTTCTCCTTCATGCTGCTGACTCATGGCTCCCTTCCCTTCCCAGAAATCTGCTCTGTTTTCCTCTAGGAAGCTAGCTGAGAGCTTATTCCCTTGAAGACAGCCACCAGCATCTTCAGAGCTGATTTCCGTAGCACAGATCCTTAGTTCTAGAACCAGTCCTGGGGTTGAGGGAGAGTGTGGAAGGAGGCCGGCTCTGCCACCTGGTGGTGAGAAGCCAGGCTCTAGCTGCTCTCAGTTTTCTGAATGAGGGGAAGAAAGGAAGGGAGCAGGGGCGGCCTTGGAAAACAATCTGTACCTAAAACAGTGGACTCCTGGACACAAAGTGGCAGACTTGAGTGGAGCCTGGGTCTAGCTTCAAGAACCCTTCTCTATCCCTGTCTTCAGGAAAATCCTTATGCTGAACCCAAAGTCAATTCTATTAATCAATGGCTCATTGAACCCAATTATAGGCAAGGATATGGTTACATGGTTTAAAATACCATTAATTTGGGTTTTGGTCCAAGGAGTCCAGCTGCAGTTTCCTCTTTCATGAACAAATGGCTCACTTTAAAAAACAAACAAACAAACAAACAAAAACAATAGAGCATTTAGCATTTACCTATTCAACATTCACTGGGCTCTACACAATCCCCAAATGTCACCATAAGCCCAAAGCAGGTGTAGACACAGGTCCCTTTTTAAGGAGTACAATCAATTGTAGGATCAGGAAACAAAATAAGGTACAGTGGTCACCAGGTCTAGTTGTAGGACAGGTGTTATAGGTCAGAGTTTGGCGGTTTCTGGGTCTTGAACGAGAAAACGTGCCCCTCTTGCGGTCTCAGAACAACGCATGTGCACATTCACTTCTGCATCCAATTTAAGGGGCCCCTAGGTCCACTGTAGACTGCTCTACCAACCCAGCCTGGCAAGGTTCTTACACCCCTGGAGAATGGGCAAGAGGCGCTCGTCCAGCTTGGTTTTACAGAACTAGTCTTTCCCTTCAGGATGAGGGTCAGCGAGAATAGGAATAAGTCGGCCTTCTATGGCCCCCGCCCCGCCCCCTTGTGTCCAAGCCTGGTCCAAAGAGCGTTTTTCACAAAACAAGTCACTGTGTGGTCACATAAACTGTGTGGACACATAAACATGAACCTGGACTTAGGTACATCAAAACTACGGAAGCACACAGGACGCTGATGCCGGCTATGAAGACACAGGCACAGAACTGTGCAGATGGAAAAGCACAAAAGCAGGCCCTTCTACACCCACTCAAACAACCCGAGGACCAAAATTCTAACTAGCCGAATCTCGTCGCCTCTCAGGCACTCACGCCCCGGAGGGGCTGCAGGGGGCGGGGCCTCACGGGTCGAGGCGGGGTCAAGGGTCAGAATGCGGAGGCGCGCCCAAGATGGCGGCCTCCATGTGCGACGTGTTCTCTTTCTGCGTGGGCGTGGCGGGCCAGGCCCGGAGCGCCGTGGAAGTCCGTTTTGTGAGCAGCGCCAAGGTGAGGTCGGAGAGGGTCCCGCCTGGAGCCCCAACCCCGTCTGGTCTTGGAGACAGCCTCGGGCACCCGTGCTCAGAGCCTAGAGGCTCTTAATGTAGCATGGACACTGCAGCCCGGCCTCAGCTCGCGGCCCGGAGCTCCCTGTCTGTCCCCGTACCCAAGCTCGTGGAGCGTTCACATGATGGACCCCGGACTCTGGATTCCCTGTGCGCGCCCTCCGCCTAGCGGAACCTGGTCCTTTACCCGGCGGCCCTGCTGAGGCTGCTCCGGGCAGGCCCACGGGGCGGTGGGGGGAAGGGGTGTGGGCTCTGGGACTCCTAGCTTAGGCCGGGAGCATTGCTGCTGGCGGTTGGCAGGGACGCTCTGGGCAGAGGCAACTGAGAAATATAAAAACCTGGGTCCTCTGGACCTTTCTGAGTGAAATATGGGTGGGAGAATAAGGAGAGAGGCCAGGACTCTTTAGAGAGGGTCTTGGAGTGCTGGGAAACTTGGACCAAACCCAAAGGCCTTGGGATTATTTGATGAATTTAATCACGAATGACATGATGTGATCGTTTTGGTTGTCATGTTTTAGAAGTTTGTTGTAGAAGAAAGAAAATAGAAGATGCATGTAAGGAAAGTAAAGACAATAATTGTTCATAATCCAATACTTGTGCAAATATGTATATATTAAAACCACATTTTTAGAAACTGCTTTTATGATGCAGCAGTGACTCTTTTAACATCAATAAACCTGTTTCTACATATTAATTTTTAAGAGTGGAGCCTGTTCCACGGTAAGGCCAAGTTCACTCAAACAAATCCTGATTTATGGGCACTTTATGTTGTATCTTATTCACCCTTGGGATCAAAGGTCTTGGAGTTAATTTCTGTGCAGACATCCTTTTATTCTCTCCAACACTATTTTCTTTCTCAGTTATCTTTGCCAGTTGATATGTACAAAATGGTATTGCTTTGTTCTCATTTACATTTCTTTGGGTAATACTGAGGTTGAATAATTAATAACATGTAGTGGCTGAATGTATCCTTGGCCCTTGCCCAAGATATTAGCCCTCTAGTCATCTGTCTCCTGCTGTCAGCGTCTTCATATTGATCCAGCTTCCCAGCCCAAGCTTCCCTTGACTTCATTCTGAAGCACCTGGAGCATTCTTTTTGGGATATCAGCTCCCCTGCATCCTTGGTCTCCTTCATTGCTCACATCTTCTACTCCACCTGGAGCCTCTAGTGCTACTGGGTGGCCCACAGTTTAATGTCGTCTTAGTGTCTCATTGTATCACTCCTAGTTTACCACAGTTTAATGGTGTCTTAGTGTCTCATTGTATCACTCCTAGTTTATAGCAGTATTCACTCGTGTGTGTGTGTGTGTGTGTGTGTGTGTGTGTGTGTGTGTGTGTATGTACTGGGGAGTGAACCAAGCAGTGCTTTACCACTGAGCTACATCACCAGCCCTTCTTATTTTTTATGTTGAGACAAGATGTCCCTAAGTTTCTGAGTCTGGCCTTGAACTCAGAATCCTCTTGTCTCAACCTTTCAATTTGCTGGGTTTACAGGCATGTGCCACTATGCCCAGCTCACTGTTATCTTCATTAGCCCTTCCCGCTGTTGCTCATCCTCCTCGTTTCTTCACTTCTTTCTTATTTAATCTCTTCAGCCACTTTTCTTGCCTAGTTGTCCTGTCCCAGCCTTTTATCAAGACCCCTTGCTGGTTACCCTCTCTAGGCCTTTACCTAATCTGCTGGAGAAAATCACATACCTACATACCTACTTGGATTTGATAACAAGATGGATTGTCCTGGGTTTTTGCATCTGTAATCATTAGTAGGATTGGTTTATGATTTTGTTCTTCTTGCCATCTTCCTCTGGTTACCACATGAGGGTTTTGCTTGGTTTAGGATAAGATGAGATTCCTTGTTCTTTGAAAGTTTCAGAGAACTGTTTAATGAAACCATGTATGTAGATGAGGGGCCTGTTTGTGGGGGTAATTTTCTATTATTTTATTGCTTCTATAAATATTGGCAGGAATGATTGTCAAGAATGTACAAACTGTTATGCCAGGGACATGACCAGTTGGGACAGAAGCTTTATCAGGTCCAGGTGATGCCAACTGGAATGCCATGCTGGTGTACACTAGTAGATCTCAGCACTGCTTGTTTATCCAGGCTTCCTTTTTTTAAAAATTCAGTTTTGGTCATTTGTATTTTTGTGGAAAATCATTTAATCAGGATTTTAAAATTTACTCTATGGTTTCTTAAGAATTTTGCATAGTCTTTTCTTAAAACTTCTTTTTCAAATTACAAATTTGTTTGTATTATTTCTCCTCTTCAGGTTCACTGTTCTTCATACTCCTTCATATTATGAAGTAGAACTGTTTTTCTTGAGACACTTTCATCTGTTTTGGGGATGAGTAGCATTATAAAGGAACAACTTGATTCCTTTTCCTTTGTTTTGATTTCTAAATATCTTCTGCATTTGGTCCTCCAGACAAAAGGAAAGGGAGATCTGTATTTATCCAATATTGAGATTTGAAATTTTCAGAGATAATGTTGTTCTTCTTGATCATCATCATCATCATTATGATTTTCAGGCAGTGCTGGGGATCATATCTAGGGCCTTGTGCTTACTAGGCAAGTGCTTTGCCACTGAGCTGCATCCCCAGCCCTGTCCATGTTGCTTTGTCTTGTAGATGAAGCTAAGTTTTCATTTTGCTAGATTGGGTGTCAGGCTATAAGGTATTAAGGTGGGGTTTCCAGGAAGACAGTCAAGCATGCATTCATGCTTTGTCCTTGGTTGTTTCACCTGTCCCAGTCTACTGCAAGAGCTCCCAATGGTGTTCCAAGGGTTGAGACTTGTGGCTCATGGGTTGCCCAGGGTCTGTCTTGTTCTACACATTTTTGCTGCTCTGAGTTTGGCAGAATCTCTGTCTTACCAGAACACCAGTGCTAAAAGGACATGGGAAACTATTCAAGAGGCCACAGTGACAGGATATCTTACTGCTGTGTCAAACACTTTTTTCCCTTTCCCTTTGTGGTGGCAGTTCAGTGTTGGCAGAGTACCACTCTCTTCTCTAAGTGAATAGCCAGAGTAATACGGACCAGCATGACCAGTAACTGTCTGGGTTCTGAAGCCACCTCCTGAGTCCTTGTACACATTTGGGAGATGGCAGTTCACAGGTTGCTTTCTTGTCTTCCATCATGAGTTATATAGTGTTGTATACCTAATGTATACAGTGTGACAGACCAGCACTTCTCAGACTTCAGCATCCTAGGAATCATCAGAACATCTTAAGATACAGATTCTGATTCAGTAGGTCGGGGTTGGGGCCTAGGATTCTGCATTTCTAACAGTGTCCCAGGTAGTGCTCATGGTGACAATCAAGCACCTCACATTGAAAAATAAGGAGTACTAGCTCATCAGGGGACATTCCCCTTTGTTATATTATTGCGTCGTGGAAACCATATGGTAGATATTATTACA